CATGGACACTTAGGGCAGTGGATCAGAAACATCTGGAAAGTTTCGAAATGTGGTGTTGGAGAAGGATGGAGAAGATCAGTTGGACCGATTATGTGAGAAATGAAGAAGTGTTAATTAGAGTCAGTGAGCAGAGGAATATCCTACACGAAATAAGAAAATGGAAGGCTAATTGGATTGGTCATGTTTTATGCAGAAACTGCCTTCTAAAAGAAGTTATCGAAGGAAAGATAGATGGGTGGATAGAAGTGACAAGAAGACGAAGAAGACGTAAGAAGATAGTGATGACCTTGGGGACAGAAGAGGATACTGTCATTTGAAGGAGAAACTCTAGATCGCATTAAGTGGAGGAATTGTTTTGGAAGAGACTGTGGACCTGTCGTCTTGACAGATTGCTGCTGATGATGATGATATATTATTATTAATCGTTGTAATTATTTACACTAACGAGAAAATATGGTGTAGATGTTTCAGTACTTGGGTATTTAATTCAGAGACAAAGAGTTCTGCAAGTTCCTTAGTAGAGTCTACAAGTCATCAGCACACAGATTCATCCTTTCACATTTTGCAGGCTCCTTGTTAGTGCTCTGAATTTTCATTTTAATTAACATTATGTTGGCCATACATAGCTGTTACAGCTGCAGTGATTCTTCTGGGGCTTTGCCAAATCTCACAAAGGCACAGTGTTTCTGATGGCTAAACTCAAATACCAGTCCCTCTTCACAGGAATAGTGGTGATTTTACTACCGTTTAAAATCAAAATAAATACTCAGGTGGGACACTGTTAACTTCCAGCTGTGCCCTCAGTTAAGCCAGTTATACTTACCAGACCTAAGTTTGAACCATGATCTTGTTAGGTACCCTGGCATTGCCAGGTATGTACGTAAAGTGGTGTAGTTTTTTTATATTGTAACGTGGTTTGCTATTGATGATGCCGTTCAGATTGTTAATTGGTTTATTTAACAACCTACAAATCGTAACTACAATTGATTATAACACAGTTGCAGGTTTACACAATTTATAAATCCTACACAGTAATCTAGTCACTCTGTCTTCAGTAGTCTTCACGTATTTATAACGTGGGAGCTATACAAGTCTCACTTAATTACACACTCCCAATATAAATGTACTACAGCACACACAGAGTCTTTAATTCAAACAATAATTTTTCACTGACTTACTTCTCCGTTATCGCGCATTATCACATAAGATCTTCTAACCACGTGTTCGGGTCTTCTTTCCGTGACTGCTGCTATATTTCACCTGTCTTCGGCGGTTCCTACATTTTAACCGACTCCTTTGGCAGTGTAGTTCTTTTATAAACCTTCAGCCAGACAATGGGAAAACACCTCGCTTCCTTGTTGCCTAGTCGCCGTGTTTACAGGTGTTGCCGGGAACACTATTGAGAGTTGTTCATTGCTGCATAGCAACCGCGACATCCCCCGCTACATCACCGTGGGGGAGGGGGCAGAGCACTGACCGGCCTGTCACTGTAGCAGCGGCAGGTCTGTTATGCCACCTCTCGCAGGGGAGGGGGCATCCTGCATAGTGCAATTACATCACACTATGGATATAAACTTATTATTTTAATTTAATTTAGGTTACTGAGTTCAGTTTCATTACAGACATAGAACTGTGTCAACAAGACACCAGGGTTTTGCGGTACACATGTTCAGTACATAAACTACTTAATACTGCTTAAAGCAGTTGAGTTACTATCACCATCACTACTGATACCACCATTTATATTTCTGCTGTCAGTTCATATTCTCATTTTACATTTAGTTTTAAACAAATATTTCCCAGTGTTCTTTTTAATCTTAGTTACATTTGTGTAGCGAATTATTTTCTTGTATGCTCTATTCTTGTTTATTTTCAACCATTTACTGCATAAAAGTTTGTCTCTCCGCTCCTTCATTTCAGGGCATTTTAGTAGTATGTGCTTAGCATGCTCCTCCCCACAATAGGGGGCACCCTCCTCTCTGACATCCCCTCCTGGTCCCTGTTTTGAGCCATATTGTTCCCATTCTCTCCTTTCTTGTGCATTTATCATTTTAGGTCTCTTTACCCCACTCATGTTTCATTAAGTAGTAAAATACCAAGAGAATTTTTCGCATATCTTAGAAAATACATCCTATCTTTCTATATCATTGCACCTTTCTCTAATTATTTTACATGTCTTATTTACATTTATCTTCACCTGGCTTTGCCAGAAATATGCTAAACATAGCTTTTTCAGTTCCTCCTTTTATTTCCTTGTCCAGCCTTCTATCTTTAGGTTATTTATCTGCCATTTACACATTCTTGCTTTTTCCAGAAAGTACATGGGTAATAAACATTACCCATATTTCACAATCGTGCTCAGAACTTTTCTACTTTTGTTATCCCTCCTTAACTCCAGTTCAGCTATAATGATTTCTCCAAATCATGGCACTCCTAGTATTGTTTTACAAAACTTACTATTAATTTTGTCATTTTATTTCCATCCTCCATCCAAGCCCCAAATCTCTATGCTATGTATCATTTTAGATTCACTTAGCACCATATAAACATTATCTGAAATATTCACCCTTATATCAAGTGTTCTTGCTAGGCATTTGCTATGGCTGCTAAAGTCTGATTCCCTTTTATTATATTATTAGTGATTACTTTATCATTGAAATTGTATATCAGTGTCATGTAATATCAGTGCTTTTTTATTTACCTAGCGAAAAATTTGCCAGTTGTTAGGTGTGACAAGAATAGCAGTAACTTTTAAGAATACTGTCCTTTGGGATGTGACACATGTAGTCTGGTAGAAGTTTACTGAATTATCAGAGGAATGTTCTGCCTAAATATTCAGAATGAAATTAAGACCTTGGTCTGGAGGCATTTGCCATCTTCCAGTTACCTTTCAGAATTATACAACTCTGCTTTTCAGAAGGTTAGTAACAACATTGTCCTGGTTGGGAAATCTAGATGCAGGGACCAGGGCATAAAGGAAGAGATAAAGATGGAGCCCCACTCTAACATGATTAGGGAGAACAATTTTCCTTATGCAGGGCATTCACATCTTGAAGGAATTAAAGTCTTTTCCCTTCAAGAGCAAGAGAGTTACTTCATGATACTGCCTTCCTCTGCACTTGCCCTACTAAGGACTCTTTTCCCACTTTGTCATTATTGGCCCTGAAAATATTTTTCTCATAATTACCTGTTTGCCATTTCTGCTGGCCAAAGTAATGATTCTGAATGACTGCTCTCCTTACCCATCCACTTCAACTCTCAAGATGGCGGTAGCATGTTCCTCTAAGATGTTGGTACCCACCAACCAGGCTACACAGTGTCACAACCTGGAAGACCACAATATGAATATGCACTTCTCTGAAATACTCAGATCTTATACTTTGCTATTGGTGACTGAGTTTGTGGACAGCCAGATTAGTTCTTTTGTGGTTTGCTAAAAGGTTGTTCACAAATCTTGTAATTTTTGAGCACTGTTTAATTTTTTGTGGCTTTTTTATAATGTTGCTTGATACTGCATGAAATGATAGTATAATTATAATTTTTGTAAAGGAACTGTACAAATATTTACCAGGAAAGAGGGACAAAAGACTTGAAAACTATAAAATGGCCAGTCTGTCCGCTGATATTTGAACATGGGACCTCCTGAATATGAACCAGAAGCAGTGACAATTGCACAGTGATATATATATACACACACACACACACACCCACACACACACTAGTAAACCGTCGATAATCCAGTTTAATGGAGTTTAATAATACGGGTAGTTCTAATGGAAATAAAAAAAAATATCACTGCAGCAGTTTTGTTCTTTGTCAGAAGGTGAAATCCAGGGTCTCCTTCATCCATCTCATGCCAATCTTGGATATTTTCTTGCATGATTTCAATGTGTTCAGCTGCTCTCATGACAGTCTAAAAGTCCTCTTGCTTCTAAATCTCGTATGTCTTTTAAAATATGTACTGAACTGTGAACAGAATTTTTCATACTTTGATCCAGATTAGAGAGGGTTTACTGTATAACGAATGAATGGTTCTTGATACACTTTGCTTTGACCCAGTTACAACCCTGTTACCTTATTTTTGTAGGGTCCAGTTTTACAGTTATGGTATATGAAGTTGGCAAAATTAAAAGCAAAGTCCTTGTATGCTGTGACTGCAAAGAAAGTAGTTGCTGATCAACTGGTTGCAGCCCCAATGGTCCTGTTTACTATCATGTCATCTGTGTACTTGATGGAAGGGCATACTGTTGAACAAACAAAAGAAAAGCTAAAGAATGATTACTGTGAGGTACTTCTTACAAACTACAAGGTCAGTCAGTATTTCTTAACTCCTGTTCATATTCATATTCATATTTTTATTGGTTCCAGAAATCAGCATTTTGCAATACAGCCTCCAGATATAGAACAAGTCAAATTATTTGTATAAAAGTCAACAATACTATAATATTTAACTACATACACAAATTGTGTACATGTCCAACATACCATATAAAACTATATTAAAAATTTAAGGCAACATAAATTCCTCAACAGAGTAACCAGTTCAGTCCATTTCACATCAATCAGTCAATCAATGAATCAAGTCTTCCTTCCTCGTCAAATCACTGTCATAGGAAAATGCAAGCCACAATGCGCCTTTAGTATCCTCTACGATGGGAGCTTAATAATGAAAAGTAAATTAAATCCAAAGCAAGTAAAATCTCATGCTGTTTAATATAGGGATAAGAACATGATCACATCCAAGTGTTTTGATATTGTTGCAAGGAATTAAGTTGATCATTATTTTAACATGTTATTTTTCTTTTCCCATAAAGGTTTGGCCCTTGGTACAATTTGTAAATTTCTCTCTTGTTCCTGTGAACTTCCAAGTGCTTCTTGTTCAAATAGTGGCTATTTTCTGGAACACATATGTTTCATTAAAATCACATAAGGTAAGTTTCATAGTATTATAAGATTTATCTAATGAGCCCCACAGGGTACATACAACAAAGATAGAGGCATAATCAGCTTCTGAAATATCCCTGCCACCACAGAATACTCTTCTCCTATGACTTGGCCATTCTGGTTTCTGTATGTAGAGAAATCTCATTTGAATGCAGAATGAAACGTAATAAACCAGGAAAACTTATTTATCAGAATTATCATATGTATCTTGTACTAGTGTAACATCTGTTAAGTATTCGGCAGAAGCTATCATTTATTTTATAAGCATATGCACAGTTGACTTCCAGTGCTTTCTCCCAAATACCTCCCCCCTCCTACACAACCATCAAACATCTCTCTCATGTGGTCTGTTACACTTAGATATCCAGCACTCACAGGCTAGGCATGATACATTAAACAAAAGACTGCTTGCTTGCTCATGACCTACTGACCTACTTATGTTCATGTAACATATTAATGTTGAACAGTCTGTTGCCCCGATAATCCAGAATTGCATAATGACACTGAAAATTTTCATGCTTACAAAATATTTTCATATATACAGGGTGAATCTGAATTGTGTTGACAACTTTAGGGATGAGCTTCACATACCAAGACAAAAAAAATCATATAAATGTGGGTCTGTGAATGCTTGCTTTCCAAGTTACAGCATTGAAATGATGCATTTATAAGAAGTGCTCAAAATATCCTTCATGAGACCTAATACTTGCTTGGGCATGTAGTGGTCTGTAGTGGCTGTTCAAGGCCCCCAGGATATTTGTGGATAGTCTGGTAGGCATTCATAATGCTCTGGCAAAGTATCTCTACATTGTGAACAGGACAACACACCGACATGCCCCTACAGGTAGAAGTCCAGAGGACTCAAATCAGGTGACAATGGGGGCCATGTAGTGGGTCTCTGTCTATCTGTTGGTTATGATGGTACTGTTGTGGACATCTCGAAGAACATGGTTGAAATATGCTGAAGCGCCATCATGCATGAACCACATCAATTCTCTGACCACCAGTGGTATGTCATCTAGTAGACTGATCAAACCGTTTAACAGGAGACTTTGGTAGTGGTAGCCTATAAAGTGATGTGGCAAAACATGTCAGCCAAACAATTAATCACCAACAGTATTTTCCCAAACATTAATGTTGAACTGTTGCTGATGTCCAGACTGGAGCAAACCATGAGGATTGTCCTCTGGCCACTGGTGGTGGCTGGGAAAATTATGATGCCGCATCTGAAAAGAGCACTGATGAAACAAAAGAAGGCTCAGCACAAGGGTGAACAAACCTCTGACACAAAATCTCCTGTGCTGGGCAATTGACAGGCTCGAGACCCTGGACTTGATGCAAATGGTATGGTTACATCAATGGCATATGAAGTACTCTCCAAATAGTAATCTGCACAACATTTAACTCTGTTGCTTTTTATTTCCTGCTGACACTCAGATTCTTTTAAACATGATTGTGCTCCGCAACATAGGGTGTCTGGATGGATCTTTCTCTGCCCCAGTTGAAAGCAAAAGACTTAAATGTTCCTGTTCCTCCAAGTTGAAAAATGTTTCATAGTTTGGATGGCATTGGTGTGGGGTGTTCCTGGCAGAGGCACACAGCCCCCTGACCATAACATGCATGTCTGCCAGTTTGTTAAATGGATACCCATCCATGCTGTATTATTCATGATAACACAGTAAAGCAGCCGGGGTGTGAAGTTGACCACTCACCTGCAGCTACTGCCAAGGTCAAGAAAATGTGTACCTATACATCCATGCCCCCATATGCCTTCATGGAGTGCTTAATTAGTTAAGCACAGGGACAGTTTTACCTTACATTATGAAAAAAAAAAAGAGTAGCAGTCATTCACATCATTCACTCTAAACTCCAGTTTCCTGCAAAAGTGTCCCTAGCGTTGTTACTTTTGTAACAACAGTTCTAATCCTGCTGCTGCTGCTGCTGAACACCTCTGAAGGTCTCTAGTTTGTTATCAGATAATTTCCAGACCCATGTTTATATTGAGTATTTTCACTGTTTTGGGCCATAGTACTCACCATACAATTTTCTGTGCTTATATATATATATATGTACAGGGTGTCCCAGGAGGAATGTGCCAGACTTTGGGAGGGTGTTCCTTATGTTAAAGTATGCTGCTATAACCCAAAACATGTCCAAAGTTGAACGGTTATGGAGGTAATGGCCAGAGAAGTGTGAAATTTTGACAGGTGTTACACACTTGTTGATTACCAAATACATATTAAAACTGGCAGGAATATGTGGTTTCTGTAATGTTAATAATGTATATAACATCAAACTAACTTGTGAATGACATGAAGCCATTAAATTGAACTACAAAAAAACTCGCACGCCATGTCATAGTTGTCCTTAGGGTTCCAAGAGTACACTATACATGACACATGAATGGCAAGCACTGACATAACTTGGCTGACTGCACATTCTGGCATAAGCCGACTATATAACTGTACTAAAATACAGTATCTGTTTTATAGTAATTGTTCAAAGTGTCCTCCGCCAGCTGCAATGCAGTTTTCGGCATGCATCATGAAGGATTGGGTAGCAGAAGCGATGTTGCCTGGATGGTGACATGTGTTCTGTGCTGCAAAAATACGATCCCACAGTGCTTCTCGTGAATCAACGTTAGTTTTGTAGACTAACATCTTCATGTGGCCCCAGAGGTAATAATCTAGAGGCGTAAGATCTGGCGACCTCGGTGGCCATGCAATGGGCCCACCACAACCTAACCAGCGGTTAGAGAAGGATTCATCTAAGTAGTGTCTCACGTGCTGAGTGTAATGTGGGGGAGCCCCATCATGTTGGAAGTACATTTGGCTCCTTACTGTTAACGGGATGTCTTCCAACAAACATGGTAACTCATTCCTCAGGAAGGCTTCATACATGTTTCCAGTTAAATTGTTGTGAAACACAAAAGGTCCAATTAACCTGTTCCCAAGCACACCACACCATACATTCACAGAAAATCTCTTGGAATTTAGTTACCATTATCTCATATGGATTATTATGGGACCATGTATGCACATTTCGTAAATTATTTACTGTCCCCGGTAAAAGACGCCTCATCACTGAATAAAATGATGCTTAACAGTTCGGGATGAGCTTTTATCCAGTGGCACAAATCCATACGCTGAGCATGGTCACCTTGTTCCAGATGTTGTACCCTTTGATCATGGTAAGAATACATCTCTTCATCATGTAAAGTTTGCCACACCTGCATACGTGATACACTGATGTGAGAGGCCATTCTATGACTGGACAGACGTGGACTTCTCTGACCCATCTCAAGAATGTTCTCTTGTGTGTTTATCATTCATACATCCTCCCTTTCAGAGCACACAGAAACACTTGGAAGAGAACCAGTATAACGCAATGTCTGGTGAATTTGCGTAAATACACTTCGACGTGTAATCCTTTGATCGGGAAAACGCCTTTGGTATTCTTCAACAGCAGCACATGCATTGCCACTGTAAAATCCATACACAAAATGCATATCACAATATTCCACGTGTGAAAACAAAAGGCCTTTCAGCAACTCCACACAACTAACCTACCAACCATTCACAACACGGCCACAATGTACCCTGAAGGATGCACATAAGCTTACGGCTAGTGTGAGCTGTCATCACCACACTCGATAAGACTTGGCAGCTGATAGGTACAGTGCGTGGACCCGGCAGAAGACCACACTTTTCTCGGGCCATTATCTCTGTAACTGTTCAACTTTGGACATAGGTGTTTTGGGTCATATCAGCATACTTTAACATAAGGAACACCCTCCCAAAGTCTGGCACATTCCTCCTGGGACACCCTGTATATATGAGATGCCATATGTGGATACACTTACATAAACAAAAGTTGACTGAATTTCTCTGGGATTAAAATGAATAACAAATGAAACTCAATGCAGACGTTTGTGATTTTATCAAGGACTTTCATTTATAAATTGATGTGCATAGTTTGATTCAAGGTTTGCTTTTACTGAAGTCCATGTTTGAATTCATCTGAGTGAAATGGGTGCTACCTATTGAATTCAGATTCCAATTTTCATTTACATCAGTGGCAAATTTTTTATACATAACCAGGTTCAAATGAGGGCACACGATAGCATAGTTGGTTGAGGCACTATGCTACAAGCTGGAAGGTCGTGGGTTCAAGTCCCGATGAGGTAATTGGATTTTTTCAATTTACCTAATCCATCCAGCCGCACTATGGCCCTGGGGTCGACTCAGCCTCCAACAGAAATGAGTACCAGGAATCTTCCTGGGGGTAAAGAGCGACTGGCGCATAGGGCTGACAACCATGCCACCATCTATGAGCCGATTGTCTAGAAAATGTGGGGGCCTCGACATCTCACAACCCTATGGGCCTCCATGGCCTGTTACAGGGATACCTTTACTTTTACTTTACCAAGAATAGTTCTTGAATAATTGAAGATTGATGAAGAAGAACATGCAACACAGTAAAGAATTTATGACATGGAAGAGTGAGAGCGATTACTTATCTTGTTTCAGCGACTTACAATACATGATTGAATATTTCTGTCAATAAATGTTTGAATAATGGATGATTATTCATTTGTATTACAGAATCATAAAGAAAATGAGGCATAAAGTGAGTGAGTCCAGAAGCAAATGACCTGAGGTGATAAAATACTAATAACATCAACATTATTCAATTTATAGAAGATTGTAAGATATTTAATATTTTTTACTGCAGTAATTAGTCGGTAATATGATAAAATAATCAAAAGTCTAACAGAGGTCATTATTACTGATGCATTATTCACACTGAATCCAAAGATGCCATCTAATGCAGTCAGTCTTCTACATAGTCAATAAGTGATCATAATGCCCAACATGACCATCTTCACAGGTGTCCTAGACAATTAAAAAGGAAACCTTAAATGACCTTTGCATAAATTATTTAACTTTTGTTCACAGATCTATGCATAAAATTAATTAAGACTTTCCTTTTATAATGGCCTGGACAACCTTAAAAATGGCCAAAACATTTTGGACATTATGATCTTTTATTGATTGAAAGACTAGTTATGCTAGATATTACATGTGAATTTATTGTACTTGGTAAAAATGACCTCTATTATATCTAAGACCTGTTTGTTACCATAAACTGAAAATCCATTGGCATGTAATAATTTGATTCATGATATACTGTGCAGAGTGAAAGTATGCATGTGTTTTTTCAAATAGAATCTGTGAATGTGACCAGAGAGAACATGAGTTCACTTCATTCGTGCATTACCAATACTGATAACATTTCAAAATCTCAGGAATCATGGACAGTCTACATGGCATCTGCATTATTTTCAGCTTATTAAACAGTATAATAAAGAAAGAAACATAATACCAAATACTAACTTCACAATTCATATTAATGCTTCCAACAACATGTAATGCAGCACATGAACATTTACAGTACAGTCACTATTTTAGTTGATTTGTTGTAAGGACTAAATTTAGTATAATTGAATACAGAATTTGGTAAAGTTCATGTGAACTAATTTATGGTTCAGCTTACTGTTAGTATGGAAATTATGAAATTTAAATACTAAAGATAAAGCTTTATATGCAGGTTTAAAAAAATTAGAAAGTGTGCTGTGGGGGTTACCTTATTTTTGTCATTGCTCCATTGACAACCCACTTCTTCGGAAAAGTTTGTAAGTCCTGAAAAGGACCGTTGGTTGCTGGGATGTTTGGCCGGTGAAGTAGCGCTACGTATGGCAGTAGAGAGAGATGCTGGTTGCGGTGTGCGGACTGGCCGCTTGATCACAGTGCGGCAGATGGTGGAGGTTGCTTGATCGCTGTGCGGCAGCTGCTGATGGAAGTCTGGTCGTCGAGCGCGGTCGCTGGAGTGGAGAGGCGGTAGCTACGCCAGATGCCCAGTGAGTTGGGCATGACCGCCAGTGAGCTGAGGCAGCCCAGTGAGTCGGGCATGCCAGTGGAGAGGTGGGGCGGCCATTCCTGGCACAATGCAGAGCCGAAGACTCCGAAGACCGAGTGCTGGCGATGAAGTGTGCTGGTTGATGTTGCCTGATCGAAGTCTGCTCGTTGACTGATGGTAGACAGATGGCTGACTGATGCTGCCGGTTTGGAGCTGCTCCTTTTTATACAAGCGTGAATGAGGAGAGCAAATTTGCTGAGCGCTGATTGGCTAGCGCGCGTAATGATGTGGATGCAGGCTAGCAGCCAGCGCTGTATAAATGCGAACGTTGGAGGCAATTTGATTGGTTAGCACGCATGATGGTGAAAAGTGAGTTGAATGGTGAGCATTGTAGAAACAGCTCGATATGTGGTATGTTCCCACAGTGCAGAATAAGTTGTTGAAACACTCCAGTATTCTAATTCATAATTGTGTCGTGCTCTGTTGTGTCAGAATGTAATTTTACTTTATAGTGTGGATAACAATGTTGTGTCTGACAATGTAGACATACATTTTAGTAGCTGATAGAACAAAAGAAGGAAATGCAGTCTTTGGAGTGATGTTATAAAATCAAGTTTTTTTTTATTTGTGATGTGCATCTGCTGTGTAGAAGCCTATATATTATTATGCTACTTATGTAGTACATTCATTTCTGAAAGAAAACAGCATTTTCAAAACTGGATCTTTATCCACCCTTTGATGAAACATTAGGAAGGCACATACTCGGAGCTGATCTCAGATCAGTTGACAACCATGCACTTGGATCAGGTTTTGCCAGTGGGGGATAATAAGAAAAGTTACAGTATTAATTGAAAAATATTCATATGTACCTGAAATTAACACATAAAGGAAGTAAAAAAATAAATCCATTAAATCAAAGCAAGAAACCAAAACCAGAATCACCAGCGCAGAAGAAATTTACATGCTATACAGTGCTGTCTGCTGCTAGCACCCTCTATGGAGCAAATGTTTAATCACAGAGATCAACATGAAGAACCAATTACATTTTATTGACCTTCCCTATAAGATACTAAATTTATTGCTAAAAACATGAATCCATATGGGAGAAATTTCCAAACTACAGTAAACATTATTATATCAGTCTTTTTCTTATTTGAACATTGTGTAACATATAATGTTATAATTACCTATAACTTTTATTTAAGACTCTATGTCAGATTAAAACTCATAAAATATTTCCAAAATATTTCTTTAGGACTTCAGGAAATATAGGCCATAAATAATCAAAGTGAAAGAAACATAATCAGGGTAACTGCTGTATAATGCATGTTGTTTTACCAAAATGTGCCAAAAATTTCTAAATGTAAAAATTCCATTAATTAAATGGTGAATCTTATCCACTGTAAAACTGTGTTTGTATAATATTGTAACGTGTTTACGTTACTGAATACGCCGTAGAGATCGTTAACTGGCTTATTGAACAATCTACAACTATCGGCTACACTTAATTATCACAACGTTACGGGTTTCCACAGTTTACAAACCCTACAATAAAATCTCTTAACACCGTCTTCACTTGTCTTCACGTACTCATAACGCGGGAGCTATACAAGTCTCCCTGAAATACACACTCCGAGTATAGCTGTACTACAGCAATCACTATGTCTGGAAAGCACACAATAAGTCTTCCGCTCGCTGACTTCTTAGTTATCGCACACTCGCAGGCTCCTATGTTTCAACTGATGATCACACTGCTGTGGAGTCTGCTTATATAGCCTTGCGCTGTTGCTAGTGTGACGTGGCGGATAGCATAGGACGCTGTTGCTAGCGTGACGTCACCGCTGTTGATTAGCATTGCGTAGTTGCCAGGTTACGGGGCTCGGCTATCTTCGGCTCCGCTCGGCTCTCTTCGGCTCCGCTCGTGACGTCACCGCGCGTTGCGCATTGCGGGGTGATTACTCGCCTATTACCGCGAGCGTTACGTTACCGCTGAGGGGTGGGAGGGGAGCGCTGACTCACCCACCGCGTCACTGCTGGTGTGGGGGGGGGCTCAGATTTCGCAACATGTCACACTGCTCCCTCCTTAAGGCTGTTCGTCCCGAATAGCCTAACGGTGCATCCCCGTTCCTTTTCCTCGGTGGCTGTTCTTGCAGCATCTTCTTTGTGTCCTCCTACTGGTTCTCTTCTCCCCGTTGCTCTGCTCTCCAACCGCCACATCTTCCCCCTTTTTATGGTTGCTCGTCTCGAGCAGCTCCATGATAAGGCGCAAGCCGGTCGAGGTGCACAACTAACATCCTCGACCTAGGGGTCTTCTGGATTCGGTAAACCACGTCATTTATCCGGGTCACTACTTTGTAAGGACCTTCCCATGATGCTTGTAGTTTCGGCGATTTCCCTTTTCTGCGGGTTGGGCGATAGAGCCAGACTCTGTCGCCTTCGTCGTAACCTGCGGAGTTGGCCAGTTTATCGTACCGAGTTTTCATCCGGTCACTGGCAAGCTTCAGGTGTTGCCGGGCATAATTGTGGATGTCGTGCAGATGATCCACTAAGTCTGCTGCATAATCGGTTGTGGGTTGTTCTTTGTCTGGGGGTACTCCAAACAGCAGGTCGCAGGGTAGCCGTAGTTCTCGTCCGAACACTAGACCAGCAGGCGTCAGGCCCGTAGTGTCGTGAGTGGATGCCCTGTAAGCTAGGAGAAAGAGGGGTAACCTCTCATCCCAGTCCCTTTGGTGCGATGAGACGACCTTCCGCAAGTGCTCCTCGATGGTCTTGACGTAGCGTTCCACCATGCCATCCGACTGTGGGTGCAGGGGTGTGGTGCGCGTCTTGCTCACTCCCAGGCGTTGCAAAACTTCTTTCAGTAGATGAGACTCGAAGTTACGGCCTTGGTCACTGTGCAACTCTCGAGGTATGCCGAAGCGGCAGAAGAAGTTGGCAACCAGAACTTCCGCTATTGTTGAAGCCTCCTGATTCGGGATGGCGTACACTTCCGGCCACTTGGTGAAGTAGTCCATAGCGATCAGTAAGTATCGGTTTCCTTGGTCGCTTCGTGGGAAGGGCCCTGCGATATCAATGGCTACTCTCTCGAAGGGAGCACCGACATTATACTGGTGCATTTGCCCACGATTCCTGGTCCGCGGTCCCCGACTGGCTGCACATGTGTCACACTGTCGACACCATTTCTCAACATCGGTCCTTGCTTGGAGCCAGTAGAATCTCTGTCGAACCTTATTCAGAGTTTTGTTGACACCGAAGTGACCTCCTGACGGTCCACCGTGCAGTTCGCTCAGAACGTCCTTTACCCTGCTCCGAGGAATAATTACCTGGGCTACTTGACGTCTTCCGGTGACGGATTCCCAGTCACGCTCTAGTACGCCGTTTCTCACAGCGAGCGATTTCCACTGGGCCCAGTAGCTTTTGTACGTGGGACTCCGATCCGCGATGTCCTGCCATTCCGGTCGTTGGCCGTTCTCTACTTCCTGTAGAATGGGTCTTATGTCCGGGTCTTTTAGCTGTTCCTCTCTTAGGGTAACAGGATCCCAGCCGGCGGCCGGTAGGGTTCCAATAACGCGTATTTGTTTTACCTCTGCCCGCGTCTCAACTTTGTGGCAGTGCGCACATTCTTCTTTGCAGGGTCGTCTAGAAAGGGCGTCGGCGTTGTTATGTTTCTGGCCCTGTCAATGCTCCGAAGTGAAGTTATACTCCTGTAGACGCTGTATCCAGCGCGCAGTTTGTCCCTCCAAGTTCTTGAAACTCATGAGCCAGGTAAGCGCACAGTGGTCCGTTCGCAGATGGAACTGTTGTCCATAGAGGTACTTGTGGAAATGTTCCAGTGTCCTCACTATGGCAAGTAGCTCTCGACGGGTGACACAGTAGTTTCTCTCCGCTTTGTTTAGCGTCTTGCTGAAGTAAGCTATGACACGCTCTTTTCCGTCCTGGATTTGAGAGAGAACTCCTCCAATTCCGACATTACTTGCATCTGTGTCCACAATGAATTTCTCTCCTGACTGTGGGTAGGCAAGGATAGGGGCAGCACATAGGGCACCCTTTAGCGTTTGAAAAGCGGCTTCTACTTCTGGAGTCCACTGGAAGGTTCGTTTCTCTTCCGTTAAACATTTTAATCATCTCTCAAAGGACTAAAGAAATCCAGCAGTTCATTAAGCCCTTTGGATGATTTAAACCAAATCAATATTAAACATTCACAAAATTAGTATAGATTTACCATACTTGGATTAAATGAAATGAGTGAGGCAATTTTGACCTTATTACATATGGACAGGCGGATATGATGAAACTGGTAAGTGGCTTGTGAAATTCTAAAAACTGTAACTTCAATTGGGCATCAGTTTTAAGCACACACCTTACAGATATAAAAAAGAAAATAATACTTCAAATCAATATATATGTGTGTATATACACCATCTTATTTAAACAATGTTACAAAAATGGTGTAGTTATGAATGAACAGGAAAGGTAAAAGCCAAAGTTAATGTTTTCCCTGTGCTTAAGCTGTGCTCAGCTTCATGTACCATCTGTACCATCATGTACCCACCACCTCACCGGATAGGAGGCTGTGTTGGCCCAGAGATGATCTGAACAGTGTGGGGAAAAAGAAAAACCTCTTACCATCGATCCCTTGGTTGTCCATTCAGCAGCCTAGATGCAATACTGACTGAGCTTGCCTGGCTCTTGAATGAGAACAAATTTTTCAAATCAGTGTAAGAGTAATTGTATATATTCAGTTTTCTTTAAACAATATTGTGAAAATGACATAATTGTGAATAAGAAAACTGGTAGTAATTTTGTGTATGCTTCAGAATTACTGGGATTTTGGACTTCGTCCATCTTCTGGTATTGTAAAAAACTAGAAAACACAACATTTCGGAAACTGGATCTGTTTCTTTTCCCAGGTGAGAGGGGAGACACCTACTCTGTTGGGTCCCTTAGAAAGAGCTAACCTCAATCACTAAGGGACCCAACAGAGTAGATGTCTCTCCCTTCACAAACAGATACAGTTTCCAAAATGTTGTGTTCTCTATTTTTTTAGAATACCAGGTGCTGGACAAAGTCTAAAAACTCAGTAATTCTAAGTGCTATACATCACTGTCAGAACCCTTTAGAATCTACTTGTATATTCTTAATTGTAATTAATGTCAGAGGTTAAGAGAACTCAATAAATATCAATAAAAAGCTGACAAAAGAGTGTAATCTTGTCTAAAAGATGAACTTTGAAAGAATGCAGTGTGTGAACAGACTGTGATTAACAAGACTGATGATTTTGTTTTATGCCTTATAATCATTTTGCAAAACTAAACTACTATTCATTGTATTACTTTATAGTATTTTTGATTACAATGTTGCTTTGAGAAAATATCAGAGATGTTTTTATAGTACTATAAGAAACAGTAAAAGTATTTTTTTTTTAAATATGATATTCAGATAGAGGAACCTTCAGCTGTTAATAACAAAATGGCATTTTAATATTAGACACAGAAGTATGCTGGCTGCATGGAATGAAGTGTTGATTTTCATAATCATTCAGCTTTGAGGTTTCCTTATTGCCAGTACTGTGGCCACAGTAACATGTTCAATGTTAGATTTGTTATGACATTTATTTCTGTAAGAGGGTTTCACAGTAGAAAGTGCATTTAAGGTTGGACGAAGTGTGATGAAACATGTAATGTCTCTGCTACTATGTGTGAGTTAGATATGATTAAATATTTCCTTCATTACAGCATTTATCTTTTTTCATCGAAGAGGTAATTATTTAAGATGTGATTGTATCTATAATGAGTTTAATTTGTTCTGATAGAAACGGATATTTAAGAAAACAATATGGATTGCCACAAATTGTACAGCCATAGGGATTTATTTTAAATAAAATGGTCTACATGACTTCTGGAAAGTTGTTCCTAAAACACATGTAACACATTTAATACTGGACTCTGCTAACAATGATCAAAGCCCTAAAAAGGGCAGTTTCATTTCATGCACTCATTATACACACTTAATATTATAATAATTTAAAGTTTAATTTAGCTTTAGGCTGTATGATTTGTTTAATACCATCATACATATGACTTGGACACAGAAACTTTTGCAGCCTGTCTGACAGGAATTGGAAATAAAACTGAACAGTTTCACATTCTTTATTGAAATGTATCATATAATTTCAGTATTACATATATGGTATGATCAAATGAAACAGAGCAAATTAATATGACAAGGGAGGAGAACAGAGCATCATATAAGGCTCCCCACAATTTTTGTGGTTCCATCAGAAGCTCAATAAGAATACTGTATTATTTTCCCAATTTCGGTGAATTTTAAGTTCAGTATAAAACAAACGTTTATTGTAGGAAATTTTTGACATTCCAGAATGTGTACCTTGATTTAATTTGATTGCAGTTGATGTAAGAGTTAATATTTACATTTTCCCTCTGCTAGATATTGTTGCTGTATGGCCTCATATTTAGTCACATGGCTTTAATTATTTTAGAAATGAATTTTTTGATACCATAATCATATTTATTAGTGTATAAACAATGTCCTTAACTACTTATGTAAAGGAATTATTTGTCCTCTGTGTTATAGTAAAGTCTTTGTTATTTGTTACAACCAACCACTGATATGATTTCTTAAATTAATGTGTACGCCTTAACATTGTGGTCACAGTGTCCAAGTTTAGAATGATCTCTTTTCCCATGACAGTACATATACAGTTTAACTGATAATAAAATTAACATCCATTTTTCACCTTGCAACCATCAGAGAGTTACAATGGTAACTAGTATATTTCTCCTTATCTGTAACTCATGTTACTGCTTAATGTAATTTGGATTTGTCACGATTAATTATTTTTGTTTTGTTCAAAACAATGAAGTTACTTTTCACTGCTTGCAGCATGTTTTCCAGAACACAGCCTTAAGCCTCTAGTCAGCAATGGAGTTATGCCATCCTAATTCCACCATAAACGTGCTGTATGTATCTCACTTCTTGTTACAACTTTTCCTTTCATAATATTGAATTTTACTGTGGGTTTTAATTATAAATCCTTACTTCTTGACTGCTCTTAGGATTCTTTTTTAGTGAAAGTACTGTGTATGAAGAAGGGATGTGATGCTATATGCACAGACAGACATTTTGAAGTACCACTATTTAAACTTGCAAACTAGACACATCAAAACCTGAAGTTTGAATGAGATGCAATGATCAACCTGTAGATCCCTGTGCCATTAGATGGAGTCTGTATTCCAACTGAACAGTTTTGTAGCATTGTAGTTATTAGTATTGAAAATTATTTATAAACTTTTTTGATAACAATTATTCTAAAATTTGCTAAAAAGGTAAAGAAACTGAAATTGGATAATGCCAAAGCATACATCACAAAAGTGGACTAAATTAACAAAATTAATTTTCTGCTGCCAAATGTCCATTGTAGAATTAAATTTCCAGTCCATGTCAATGAATACTTTTCTAGAAAGTTCTCTGTCAGCTTACACATAATTTGTACAACATATGTACTTCATTTCAGTTTTACCTTGTAAATAAACTCTTTGCATCAGATAGGGAGTCAGTTACATCATGCAAATTGGACATAGCTTCCTTTTCTTCATGTCTTTTGATTGCTTCTTGTGTGTATAATAAAAGAATGAACCTTTTCTAGATTTTTCAAGACATGAAACAGTTCTGAAAAATGTAGTGTCCTAATTGGGTAGTGATATTTATGGTCTTGTAACGGTAGGATTAGTTTTAGGATAAAAGGATGTGGAACATTCTTGATCAGGGGACTGGTAAATTTTTAAAATTTGAATTTATCCCACTGAAGCAATTTATTTTTAATAATAAATTAATATTTAATTTAAAAGATATAACAATATATTCACAGTAAAGGCTGAACCTGCAGTCTTTTCTTAAAATAAATAAACACAGATTGAAAACCCTGCATTTTTAATAAAAGGCAATGGATATGTAATGTAAATTAAATAAATTAGAAACATTTTTAGAAATAAAATCACAAGCGACTTAATTAGCAAAGGGGCACATACGCTGTTCAATCCTTAGAATTACAATGACTCCAATATATATCAATTTAATTTATTAAAATATAAATAATTTAATTTTTTAGATTTTATATATGTACGCTATAATACATTTTGTAGGAATGTTGGTGGATACCACTTGGAACTCATTTTGACCGAACTTGAAATGGCATCACTCAGAGAACATGGGGGCAATATCAACAAAATTCACATTAATGAAGGAAGTAAATTAGAGAAGCAACTTCGGTTGTCTGAAGTGGAAAACATTCAGGACAGACTCCACACCACTCAAGATATTTCCCCAGTCTCTGAAACAGAATAACACACATATTTCAGTTTCACACAGTATGTTATTCTAAAAGTGATTACTGTTTCACTTTGTCATACAGGAAAAGATATTTTCATGGTGGGAAAATCAATACGGAGATTGTGATGGATTTGCACGTTTTCAACACAGAGTAGCTTTTCGAATGTCTTCTGTGTCTGTGTACATGTGTGGCCCTCGCTATCATGTGAACGTTTGGATGAATTTTATTCGTATTTGGTATGTACGAGTTTATTCACAGTAAGTCAGTGCCTGGTGAATATGTACATTCTAACCCCAAAAGCATAGCTATCCTTCAGATGGGCCCCAAAGCAAAATTAAGAATTTCTGAAAAATGTTTTTACGATTTCGATTAAATTTCAGTAATTTATGGGTATCACATCCCAAAATTAAATTGAATGGATAGTATCTTCAGGGAAATAACTATACGTGCACCGGGAACACAAACACGAAATATAATTTTTCTCTTAAACAGCTCGGCAGATGTTGATTAAGAAGAGTTGCAACCAAAGTGTTAATAAATCCAATCATCGGAACTACAACCCGTCATTTTGTCACGCGTACCAAACTACAAGTGACTTTTGGTATCAACGTGTCAACACGTGACAATACAAATGACACTGTGCGCAGCATAGAGACGGAACGCAAGACAGCCTGCTGTATACTTACGTTTTACGAATGGTGTTGAGGTGTGTATTCGTTATTCCAGCGTGAATTTGACCAATCTGATGTCTCTGGAGGCCTGAAAAAGAAACATCTTTCATGAGATATTTCTGCTAGCGTTTAAATCACGGAAATTGTTAAGTAGGGTGACTTGTGCATGGCTGATGTTCTTATCACTGGAAAGAATTGTTATTACAATGCCTATAAACGGCGCACCACATACCCGGCTGTAGATCTAACAGGACTATATACAAAAATATATATTTTCTGTCTGTATTGTCGGTTTCATATTCCATACCGCAAACAGGATAAAGAACCCATAAAAATTAAAGCAAAACTATCCCTGTAAGAGGCCGTGGAGGCCCATAGGGTTGTGAGACGTCGAGGTTCTCACATGTTCTAGATAATCGGCTGAAAGATGGCGGTGAGGTTGTCAGCCTTACGCACCGGCCGTCCTTTACCCCACAGGAAAATTGCTGGTATTCATTTCTGTTAGAGGCTGAGTCAACCGCAAGGGCACAGTGCAGCCAGAAGGAATAGGTAAATTAAAGAATCCAATCATCTCATCGGGGAACTAAACAGCGACCTTCCGGCTTTTAGCATACTGCATCAACTACGATACCGCGTGTCCCCATTAAGAACTCTCATATCAACTTTACTCCTAAGGAGAAATTGGTCAACAGTGAGAAATTAACAACTAAATTGTGGTGTGGTAACGTTAGGAAGTGGTGCTGCGGTGGTGGATTCATAAACTAACATATCAGTCGACAAACGCGTTTATTGGAGGCTGCAGAAGGAACGGTAAGTAAAGTACACTTTGTGACCTGAACTTCTTTTCTGCTTTCAAAGTCAACGACAATACTTCTGTGTATCTCATAGTACTGGAAAGTAACATTAAGGAGCTTCAGAATTAACATCATGATTACTTGAGGTTATGAAATCGACAATTTTCCTCTAAAATGCAGTTGGGGTAGAGTGAGACACGTAATTATGTGTCAGACTGAGACAACGAAACGCGACATCTCATTCTACCGCACGCGAGGTAGTCTTGTTATTCTATCCTGCTGTCTCTTAGGTATCAACCATAGCATCGCCAAAAGTGACTTCACTTGGGAGTAATGGAAAGGCCAACGCAATTATAAGTCCACAGAAATTCAAGGGCTATCCTAGAGCAGGACTCAGGAAGAATAATAGGTAATGGAAAGCAAAAGGAAACCGATATACTTGAAAAAGATGGAATTGAAAAGCGAGCCACAGAGATAAAGGAAAGGAAAACCTCTGGCTTAAAACGCCGAAGCTTTTCGCCACAAAGGAGAAAGAGAGTAGATAATTATGTTGGCAGTGTTAAAGAAATTGTTTCTAAAACTTAATTTGAAGCGAGTTTTCTTCATAACGTGAAGAAAACAAATAAGTTTGTCTTCTCTGGTGATAAAACTTTAGTAGAGTTCTTTGATATTGTAATGCCTTTACAAAAGAAATATCTTAGTAAGTCGCACTGTGCGAAAGAACAAATTCTGTAGTATAATCATAGTTTCAAAGATGGTGGTAGCGCAGGTGCGTTGACGGCATGAAGCTAAAAACAGCAATTACAGAGTTGAGCGTGTAAAGCGCTGGTCGTCGTGTGATTGGTAGAATGGTTTTCGGATTTTTAAGGAGAATAAAGTTTTGGAATTTGAGGTCGTGAATGTATTTATGGGAATTCTGGTTTCTATTGGTGCTGTTGGTGATATGCTATCTTCGTGGATCCTTAAAATAAGCGTAAATATTGGAAAGGGTAACGGTTACATTTTTCTTTGGTAGAGGGAACGAGTGCCGGTCACGGTAGCCGAGCGGTCTAAGGCATGCACTGTCTTCGCTCGCTTGGAAACCGGGATCGTGGGTTCGAATCCCACTCAGGGCATGGATGTTTAGTTTGTTTGTGCGCGTTTTTCTGTGTCTGTGTACAGGTAGAGGCCTTGCGACGAGCTGATCACCCGCCCAAGGAGTCCTACGGAATGTGTAAGACCTAGAAAACCCGAAGTGAACGGAGAAGTTCATGGAGGTAGGCCTAGGCCCAATGGGGCTGTAGTGCCAAGAAAAAAAAGGGGGGGGGAACAAGTGTTTAAACTAGCCACAGATTGTCCAATAAATTAAAGAGAAGAGGAAACAACATCACATCTACATTTCCCCTTTCTTTTTAGTATCCTTAAAATGTATCTTAATCATGTATAGTTTTTTTCTCATACTTAGTTCTGTAATCTGAAAATGATATAATAAAAAAATGGTGTGTCACTGTGGGCGTATCTTCCCCACTGCTGCCAACATGATAGTCAGCTTACGTTGCCACGACGGTGCAGAGCCTATTGTTTTTGAACGAGTTTCGAATCCTCAGTCCCATTTGTTGACGCAGTCTTAAGGATGACCTATTAAGTTTGCTCAGCCAGTCCTTCAGTACGCATGAACTAATTCGCGAACCACTGCGAATTTTAATCGAAACTGATATTGGAAAATTGCGGGAACACCGACTGCAGTAGCGCGGAAGGCACGGCAGTTCCCTCCAGCTTCAACTCACCCAATGATAGGCCGAAGGATGTAGTGCAGTTATGAATTTTTAAAAGAATTTAATATTAAATCTTGATAATGTTGCGTGGTAGAAGGCAAACAAAACTGAAAAATAGATTCTAGTACACTGTGTAGTTTTACAGTCTTTTTATTAATTAGACGATTATATTTCAGTTTCTAGATAGCTTTAAATTAAAATGGTGCAACGAAAAAACATTTCATTCAGTTACATGTATACTTAAATTTGTTATTAACTTTATGTTTAAATAATCATACACATTAGAACAACATCGAATTCCGTAATTGTCTGCGAGCTGTGTAAATGCTATGGAGGCTCACCTGTTGTTTTCGGGGTTCACGTTTCCGGACTTTTCGTCTGTTGACGAAATCATGAACTCAGAATTTACGTCATCGTCATCACCAATATCATCTTGTTCATTAGTGCCTTGTTGTGAGTGAATGATGCCCCTCTTGCCGATTGTCTGTAGAATCTCCCTATTGGCTTGAATCTGGTCCTGCGATTGACGCATGCGCCGTCGCGCAATTTCCAAAAGAAGTCTTTGACGCAGGACATCCAGTGGGTTGACAATTGAAAGAGAAGGGGCTCCCCCAGTTCTTTTCACTCGACGTGAAGCCTGCGAGAGATCAGAAACCATGAAGTTAATTTCGAGGAAAGAATCACTTTGGAGATCCAGTTGTCTAGATCGGCCAGGTTCGGCGTCGGTCCTGACGTGAATGATTTTACTTCTTTTGGCTTATTTTGGACTGGTCCAGTGATTGAGACTAGCTCTTTCTAACGGGCCCAACTGAGTAGGTTTATTCTTCCCTACCCACCTGAAGACGAAGACAGATCCCGTATCCGAGTCCCTCCCGGAGGACTTGTTCCGCCCTTAAAAATTCCACGAGCTCCGCCGGGTTTGAACCCGCGTACCTTGAGTCATGAAGTGGGAACATTACCCCTAGACTACGGAGGCCGCTTTAGATCGTGATAAATATAAGAGATTCCTTCTTCACACACGAACTATTTAGTTGCGCATGAGATGGAAACTGATGCTGATAACTGCCGCTTTGTTTGAATTCTACTGCAGTATATTCTGTGCAGCTACGAGTACAGGAAGACAGTGTTTCTAAGTGATTTTGCAGTCACCTGATTGGATTCCCTTTCCAGTTCGGTGAGAACGTAGAACCGAGGGTCGGGAGCACTTTCCCAGTCGCCGTGGGATCGAAACTTAGCTGACAGTCGCGGTAGCAAGTAAGAAGTCGTTTCATGGTCGGAAGAGGGAACTGCAAGCGCCTCCAGAAGCGGGGATTCATAGTAGGCCATGCTGCACGACACTAGCGACGCCAGCAATAACGTCGGTACTATTGCGAGCATCATATCCTCCACCTGTAACAACACGTAAGTACATCTCAATTAGGCGTACTATTGTAGTCATCTTATACATGAATTGTTTCCGTGAGATTGGACACTCGTCTTATTATTAGACGTATAATTTGTAGCAGGGAAGTAAATATGTAGAATGGCCTACATGGTCACCTGTACTCAGATTCGTGTACATGATGTAGAACAACAGTTACGCCTATGTGCATCGACGCAGAAGACTACAGAAAAAGCATTTTAAAACAGGCCATTAGCGTTTAATATTTTAATTGACTGTGGGAAAGCACTATTAATTCAAATAACCGATTTCCTGCTGTTTCAAAAGGGAGTGCTTCTTGGTAATGAAAACAGCGGTCGCAACTACACAATAACGNTTCCTGTAACAGGCCGTGAAGGACCTTTATATTGGACACAACAAAACAAATGCCTCCCACCCTTAATTTGAGGGCGGAAGCAGATCTAGCTTCCGAAACGCCTCGTTCTTTAGGAATATCAGACGCTCGAAAATGTCCAAAAGTTCAGTCATCCCGAGTGTTGGTTTATTTTACAATTTCTTGAGCCAGGTTACAGGTTACAATGTCGGACAGGGGGACGAATCAACTTGTATTTAAACACAATTAATGATAGACTTGAAAGGATTCTGACGATGGTGTATGCTGTAAAGAACTATAAGGCTTATTCTGGACTTTGTCCATTGTCTGGTATATATAGGACAAAAAAAAAACCACAACGTCTCGGAGACTAGATCTGTCTCCGTCCTCAGGTGGATGGGGCGAGGTAGACCTACTCAGTTGGATTGTGGTCCAGTGATTGAGACTAGCTCATTCTAACGGGCCCAAATGAGTATGTCTATCCTGCCCATCCACCTGAGGACGGAGACAGAGCCAGTCTCCGAAACGTTGTCTTATATATACCAGACGATGGATAAAGTCCAAAATAAGCCTTATAGTTCTGTACATTTAATGATGTTTCCTGAACAACAAAAGTTATACAGCGTAGAACTGATTTATTTCGTGACACTTTCTCGGACTGCATAGAATAAGACGAGTCTAACAATTTTTCCATCGTTCGCAACGTGACGTTATTGCCGAGCCGTTGCCTATCAACGGTAACGGGATACAAATACAAGCAACAGAGACTGATCTCTCAGTCTATCTCTATGGCTCTATGGCTTTACAGCCTTCTGGACCTTGGCCGCCTTTTAGGTTTCTTAATCATATACACAGTCGGTTGGAATCCTTGCACGGGCGATCAGCCCGTCGCAAGGCCACTACTTACACAAAGAACAACACAAACACAGAAATCCATGTCCCAAATTGGATTAGAACCCACGATCCCAGCTTTCAAGCGAGCGAAGACAGTTCACGCCTTAGACTGCGCGGCCACTGTGATCAGCACACAGAATTATAGGAGGGACTTATGAAGTACGCCGCTGAGATGGGTTCACTTGCCATGACGTACATACCAGGTTTCATAAAGACTGATTCAGCCATCCAAAAGCTAGAAGAGGAATTCTTAGACCCAGAGACAGCATGGTGATCTCATAAGTTTTTTTTTTTCAAAAAAGTAAAATAAGCTGAATGTAAAAGGAGGCGCAGTGGCCTATTTTAAGATATCATCCCACAATTCGCATGGAAGGAACGAGGAGATATACTAACAACCTCACTCAGCAGAATCGGTGTCCGTACCAAGTCTCAAACCCTGGACCCTCCGAATATGAAATCGACGTATAACCATTACACTGTGACATTCGGTTTTAAGATTTTATTAACGCAACAAGCGTTGAAAATTCAGTGGAAAGTCTCGGTAGTAGTTATATAATATATCGTACTATCAACTTCTTCTGCTTTCTTTCGTATTTCCTTCCGGTCTTTCATGTTATCGAATGATACGTCGAGGCTGACGTTTAAGGCCATTTCCCACAAACAGCACGCGCGAATAGTCAAACATAAACTGTCTGCTTTATACGTTTTATTAAAATACACACAAATAGAGGGGATGGCTCAGTCGGTGTAACGACGGGCTGGAAGGCAGGAGTTCGATTCTCGGCAAGACACTCCACTTCGCAACGTTTAGACTGGCCCTTGAGCCCACCCAACCTCCTCTGCAATGAGTACCGGGGACTATTTCTCCGAGAGTAGACCGGCCGGCCCCCTCGTTGGTGTCTCCACCTTATCGTGGTGAGGGGGTTTGAGTATGCCAAGGACCCTGAGAGCTATACCAGCGGTAGCGTAGCTACTGGCAAGGCCTCCCTTGCTGGACAGGTCAAAGGGTAGGCATCAGACGAAGAGAGACACCAAAAACCAAAAACTGATGCCGGAAGCAGCGTCATCAGCAGCGACTTGAAGCACAGAACAAATGATGCTCGAGATGGTTCAAGTTCGTATAGCAACAGGCGTGACCAGAGTGGTTTGAACGGCTGTTGTACTGCGATGTGGAAAGCAAATGGAAAAACTACCACATTATCACTTTTCCTGGACAGTCTCTTTCCAAAAACAGAAGATCACATTAAGTGGAGGAACTGTTTTGGAAGAGACTGTGGACCTGTCATCTGACAGTTACTGATCAATCAATCAGACCGGCCGGAGTTTGAAGCTGACCACTGCAGTGCCGAAGTCAAGATTAATGGAAATATACCTCTACTCCATCATACGCATTAATACCGTGGTCCTTAATTTATTAATTACAGTAAAAATTTTAATTTTAATTTACATCAAATTAAACCGATAATTTTAACTTTCGGCAATTCACTGCTACGGTAACCCGAATCTGTATGCAGACAATGATAAATCCTACGTTTAAAACCCTTAGAAGGCTCTTTTCCCTGAGTCCCACTCACCCATATCTCACTGAACCCCGGGTGGAGTAGGTTGCCAGTTGGAAAAGACACGTGTCAAATACTAATACATTATCACCGCCATGTCTGTGAGGATTATATCCCGTTATGTGAGAGCCTTCGTTCCTCTGTTTCCCTTCCTCACAGCTGCATATTCCGAGGGATCTACTGGAGCAAAACAGGCTCAAATCTCTCGTCTTCTACGATAAACCTCAGTGAATGGCGACGACGCTTCGCCCTCTCGTCCTTCTGATTAACTAACTCCGTGGAGCTGAGCCTTTCTTGAGAAGATGCTAGTTGTCCAGTTAGAATTTCAGAACACTTTTATGGAACCCGAAGGTTCATTACATTGTTCGCAAGAGCCCTCCGTCGTTTCATATCCTCAGCCAGATCAATCCAGTCCAAACACTCCATCCTATCTGTCTAAAATCAATTTTAATATTGTCCTCCCACCAACATGTAGGTCTTCCTAGTGGTCTGTTTCCTTTCGGGTTTCCCACCAAATTACTACGTGCACTGTTCCTTTCCCCCATGCGTGTTGCACGTTCTGCCCATCATATCTTCCTTGACTTGATCATTCTAATTTTACTTGTGGAAGAGTACAAGTTATGAAGCTCCTCACTGTGCAGTTTTCTCCAACCTCCTGTCACTTCATCCCTCTTCAGCCCAGAGGTTCTGCATCCTGTTCTGAAATCCTTCTGATGTAAGTGGAGCGAAAGTGAAGATGTTAGGACGGTCACAAGTAATGGCTCGGGATAAGCCGCACTGACTTAGTGTTGTATTGCATAAACTGAGATTTCTGCAATGACCTTTACCTTTGCCTATACTTCCTTAAGTTTCGCCGTTCCAGTCCCTTCAGGAGCAGAATTTCTCTTTTCACTACCGGAACCAGGGGCACTATGCTACAAGCCGGGAGGTTGCGGAATCGAATCATGATGAGCTCACCGGAGCTGTTTCCAACAGTAACTCTATTTTTGCATGCATATTCGTTGCATCGGGAATGTTTACCGAGCCGTTGCCAAGAAGCGGTCGTTATTAATAGAGTCACCGCGTAATAACGTGTCTATACGCCACAATATTTTGACGTGTTGCCTGAAAGCCGGACTATAATGCATCCATCACTACGCAACGGACAATGAGAAAGCATGCTACCTAGGAAACGGCTTGAAGAACACGAGAACCTAACACTGGGCTAGCAATATCTAAGGAACGAATTGTTTTAGACAGTAAACGTGCATTTCCGCGTCAATAAGGAATTCGTTGCATAGCAATGGGTGAAACTAAACCCTTCGTCAAGGTGTTCCCTATTCAGCCCAAGTGCAGGATATAACAGTTCATATCCGAGAAGAGACCAGAATCCTGCTAGAAATAGGGCATAATCTGCTGACAGAGGCCTTGTATATATAGTACAAAGAAGTAGAAATTAAGGCTAAAATTAAATTGTAAATATATGTATATACTGACAATGGACTTATTAATACAGGCTATGACTGACAAATGACAGACCCGACCTCTCGTCAGAGAGGGCGCCCCAAATGGACAGGACAGTAACTTTCATATAAGAAGAAACATCTGGTCATGAGCCCCAGCTGGGGCTCGACACCAAGACAGACAGACAGACCGACCGTCAGTCACAATTTGGCTTTGACTTGAGACCAGTTAGTTCGTATTTGTGAGTGTAAAGAGTGAATGTCCAATAAATATTCGTCCAAATCCGGGACCCATGTAAATTTTCTTGTCGCGTTGCCTAGGAAACACGCGACACTATTTGTTTCAGAGCATCGTGTCTATTTTATGGATATTGATAAGAGTATTTTAATGCGGATACGTGAAGTGCAGTAGACTGTATAAAATAGAAGGCTTACAGCTGACTATTTCTGCATGTCATTCGTGGAAGATGGCATTAAATATCAGCCTCGACACCTCATTCGTTAATACGTATGACTGGGAAGGAATAGGGAAGAAAGTAATGGAGGTTAAGAGTGCGAGATAAATGATGAGGTTTCCAGTTGAATTCTCAGCGGCTGTTATGTAGACCTACTTAATTACAATAGAATTGATCCTGCTGCCCAAATTTTTGTTCTTGGTCTTAATAGGCAAATCTTCAAGAAATAAAATGTTTCACTTATTTCAACAGAAGATTTGAGAATGGCAAGGAAAAAAAAATATTTGAGTTCAGAATGGTTTAAAATCAGGTTTGCTTTGTTCTTTTTATTTATGGCTCTATTACAATTCCTCGGGAGCAGGCGGTAGCACAGTTGGTTGAGACACTATACTGCAAGCCGGAAGGCCGCGGGATAGATTCCCGGTGAGGTCATTGGATTTTTCATTTACCCTAATACTTCCAACCGCACTATTATCCTGGGATTGGCTCAGTCTCTAAAAGAAATGAGTACCAGGAATCTTCCTGGGGCAAAGGGCGGCCAGCGCGCTAAGCTGACAACCTCACCGCCATGCGTGAGCCCACTGTCTAGAAAATGTGGGAGCCTCGACGTCTCACAACAATATGGGCCTCTACGGTCTGTTACAGGGATAGCTTTACCATTTTATCTATTGCAAAATGATTTTTAAGCATGTATTGAACAATAGATAATATATATACTAATTTATTTTAGTATGTATAATAATAACAATTGTATCCTTAATATTGATTGTTTATTCATTCAGTATACAGCTTTTACTTCTGGCTAATTGAAATAAATGTCAATTAGTAGTAAACAATTTTATGCAAATATATTATTTTTCTAATATATTTGAGGAGTTTTCTTAGTGTTTGGTTTAATTGAATAAAGCATTCCCGGAAATATAGAATATAATTTCCCCTTCTCATATTACTTACATCTTCTCTTTTATAATGTGGCATGTACACCCGTTGTTAGACAACGACCACGAAATACGCAACTTTACAACAGCCGTTGCTAAGTAACAGCTCCGAAGACAAGTATGTCAGAGAGTATGTTATGTAAGGACTATAAGAGCAAGAGCTCAGTTACAAAAGAAAATCTGTGGTCGTGATCTTGAAGGGGCTTGTTGTCAAGATGAACTGATTGGAGGTAAACCTCCTATCGTAAAGTAACTCTTGACTCTGACACTGACTCTGACAGATAACGGCTGGGATTCAGTTGTTGTGAGCTGTTGCTGTGAGAAACTGGTAGCTGAGACCGAATAGAGGTCAGGAACCCAGAAAAGAGGAACGTCTGCCGTTGGAAGCCGCTACCAAGCAACGACTGGTAAAGAATGTAACAGACTGAGAAGAGATAGTGTGTCCTATAGTGACTTGTGAAGTGTGCAGAACAATGAGAGTACAATCCTTACTTATAGTGTCCAAAAAGTACAATTACCAATCCAATCCCCGTCGAAAGTCACTCATTCACGTGACACTAAGTAATTTAAAAATATCATTTATATTCCTTCTGTCTAGTCCATACTGTGTTATTTAACAGAACTGTTGTACCTTATTTCAGTTTTGTTCTGAAGAAGGGGGATTATCGATAACGAACATCGATTTGACTGGCCGTCTTTCCCATCTCCGACCCACCTATCCAACGGGTAAGTGGTGACACTGGCTGGAGTGAAGATTTTGATGGGCCGGCTTTATTTCCAACGCATCCATTTCTATGCTTAAGGTCAAACTAGACAGATGGACCTCGGACTTAGGAATTAATAGATTTCAGAAATCGGTTCGTATTTCGAAAAATTGTAACTCGTGTTTATTGTAATGTAACATCGTGTTACCTTCCTGGGCCTCAATGCTCAGGTATTTTTCAACATTTTAACCCCGGTTACCCTGCAGTTCTATTGTTTTATTATACTGTAAACCCTCGCTATAAAAGACCAATTTGGAGGGGGGGGGGAGTTTGTTCGTTATCTCAGATGCGCACTACAAATGCGTGAAGGGGTACTCAGAGAAGTACACCATAAGATACACAGCCAATACAAGCAATAAACATGAAAACACACAATGTACAATAATTATATAAAGGCTCTTATATTGGGGTTATATTTAATTTCAAATGTTTCCTAACCACGAAATCTTCTTAATATTTCAACATCCCTAAGAATTCACAGCTGTACACACTCATATTCTGTCCGTTATATAAAGACTTCGTTATATCCGGGGTTCCTCTATAAACAACAAACGAACACCCAACAACGCGGTATTTAACGTTTAAACTGTTAAAAGCATAAATAATAAGGAACTTAACTTTTAGCACAGATCGTTATGATCTGAGCTGCCACAACAATACAACATGGCTACAAACCGAAATTCGAGCATCGAATCATGGACCCGAAAATTCTGGGCGTAAGTCCAATGGTCGCTCATTTAGTGTAGTCATACGCCGCACCATAGCTCAAGCGGTTAGTCGCTGGCTTCCCACCGCGGCGGCCCGGGTTCGATCCCCGGTCTAGTCAAGTGGAATTTATGGTGGACAAAGTGGTGCTGGGGCGGGTTTTCTCCGAGTACTTCGGTTTCCCCTGCCAATCTTCATTCCACCAAGTTCTCCATCATCATAATCACCCGGGGCAGGCTACAATAGGCCAATCAGTGGCCGCCGTGACGAGTGGACCCAATTGGACTCCACCCCCCCACTAAGCGAATTAAAAAAATGACTGCTAATGCATAGGGTGCCAGTATATAAATATGTTAAATGGGCGAAATATTAAACAAAATTTTCAAACAAAAACATTCTACGGATAACCTGTAGCACCAATTGTTTGCATTTAATCTGTTTCAGCGGATAGCACAGAGCAAAGCCGCGGCATTTGTACGCCACTAAAACGGGATGAAGAAAACTCCACCAGTTACTGTTGCTCTCCATGGCACCGACGGTAATGACCCATCAGCAGGGGATGACGCGCTTGCATTACGTAATTCCAGCGGTACGAACAGGATTGTCTCCAAACGTGTCTGTCACGTTTTGCAGCCATTGTAAGTTTTATTATTTTTCCGCAACAATTTCATATGATTATTAGATTAGACAGCTAATAATTATTTTATAATAATTAGAAAAATATATGCCGTGTAACTCCGAATACAAGACGACCCAATATTTTTCCAATGAGAAAATAAAAAAGTTATTTTTGTCAAAACTGAATGTATTGTGGCGCATGGGTCAGTTGCTGAGCTGTGACTCTGTAAACGGCGGCCGTTAATACGCAACGCCCGCAACATGCAAGCATGCAACAATAGAAGAACAGTTTTTTGTCTATCTCGTTCACACCGCGACCATTGCTATGCAACGGCGCGTTAAACAAACCTCTAAAACAATAGAAGGGCTGTGTTTTCTGCGTGGTCCATGACAAGGAGTTTTCTTGAAGACAATTAGGGTGACCTAGTGAGTTGTCAATGGAGTTCTGGCGTTGCAAGTGAACAGTGAGTTCATGGTTGGCTGTTAAGAACCTCCACTCTTAGAAGCCGTTGCCAGGGAACGGCTGGTGAAGACACTGAAGGCTGGAGAAATCTTAGCGTGTACTGATTCGTAAAGTGTGGAAATCAGCGATAGCGCTGCAATTACATGTACTTTCGAGTGGGGTGGCCAATAAATCCATTCACCAATCCATAATCCCGTCTAGAGTCACGCACCTATACACATGACAATATCATTTAGTTTTGAGGGTTGTGAATAAAAGTAAGTTAAGAACTACACTAGTAGGAAATAACAAATTCGAAAATCAATAGCTTAAATACAGTTCTAGTTATTTTCACGAATATCTTTAGAATTAGCAATTATTTTCTTCACAGTTATTCGTTTTGGACTTGAAAAGAATTCAAACCTCTTTTCTAAGAAGCTGTATTTAAAATTACCTCACCGTATATTTGGGCAAATACAGTATTTAATCCTGTCAAGTATTAATTTCTCCTAAATTATATTTTAAAATTCATCTCCTACCCTACAGAAAACAAACTCAATTACAAAGATAAAATTTTTAATGATATTTAAGAGACTAATCTTTATTTATTCTGAGACACGTAATAAGCACATTAATACAATCTGTGTACAACACTCCCAACTTTCTCAGTGTTAAAACAGAGGCTATATATAGTAACCGTCGAGTATAACGAATGTTTTGATTGATATTTCATTTATTTACTGTTTCTTTTAATTAGATTTACATTATCTTGGACGATCGATAACATAGACACAGTACAAGAACCCGATGCTTCAGTCTATGCCTCTTTAATTATGGACTTCTGGAAGATGCACACGCCCCGAAATATCTGATTTGTATTTTGCCCATGTCTACTTCCTACTTTCACCATTTTTTCACTTCACTGTCAGCTAAAGGTTACTATTTTGCTCCCAGAAGTCAAGAATCCATCTACACTTCCTGAAATTTAATCATTTAAATTGCACGTGAGGGCTGCGCAGAAACAAAGGCATATTAGCGACTAACAGAGCCCAAAGAATTTCCTGTTTGCTTGTTCGGTATATTCTTTGAGCCTACTAAATAGCGGTACTATTTTCCTATGAAGTATCCGCAGTTTTCTACCGGACTGCGTGTGAAGACATCTGGAAGGATGCTCACTTATCGACAACGGAGAATGTCGTTTGTTTCGATATTTTGCGTGTTTCTGTGTTTCGTAGAAAGAGGAAGCACCGGATTTGCTTGAAGATAGGATCGCAGTGATAGCCTTGCCAGTTTTAAATCTATTTTCCAACACTTCAATCATGCTCCATATCATAAGAGAGGAACTTCCTTTGCAAACTTATACAACGTTAGGATTACGAGTAGAGAATATCACAAAGTGTTCGTTGAAAAATGCCATTTTCTTGGATGTAACGCCGCTTTTCCGGTACAGGATCACCCTTCCGTCCCATGAAAGGACAGTTTGAGCGATCCTAAAACCTGGGGAGGTCCCATCATCAGAAATTCTGCGACGTAAGGCTACTAAGTATTTTCATGGAACAGATGAGAGGTTTCCATAATTTGCTTAGGCAGAAGCTGTCCTCCTCCTTCAGGCTGTTAGGATAAAGTCCATTTATCTTCTACAAAGCTACATAGCATCACATTACAAACGATAACACTCATTATACATTATCACTCTCAACATAAAGAACAAATATAAATGAGAGATGGCCTTGTTCATAGTTCACCGTGAAATCGCTGGGCGCGCCGCTTACCGATCTTCCGTGTGGCACCTAGCCGCTGAGCGTTAAATGGCGTTGCTAACGTTAATTGCTCTGGAAGTTACGACTAAAGCATATAAATATTATTATAGGCCGATGGCAGAATTATCTTTTGGCCCGTGGCCTTACACACGCCCATGTGCGCTATGTGCGATTGTAAGTTATATAAAACAAAATATTAAAATTATTTTTTGCAGCCGATTAAACCGTAATCAATTGTACTTGTTTGTGAAAACAGGAAAACCACTTTAGTATACGACATTCTGCATGGACACACACTCGAGGGTTTCACTTTGGCTCGCACAAATATATCTACACTGCATTTGATTCATACACGAGATAAATACAAAGCTTAAAAAGCCGTAACGTCATAATACAAGATCAAAGAACAAAATTACAAACAAAACAAAAAGTGGGAAATGCAAGGCTTTAATTACGTGCATCATTAAAACTTGACATTATGGCTTATTATTAGGAAATTAATTTGACGTTACCATTTCCTTTATGGTAACGATGTAGCAAGCATGAATGCGCAAGGGCTTCTAAATCCTCTGTCGAAATATTTGTTTTTGCCTTTGACCAATTTGTGAGATTAACTATAGAGGTTTAATTTTAATCATGCAATGATCATGATTAGGCTCATCATACGTCCCAGTTTTCGTGCTTTGCCCTGGGGTATCGGGCAGTTGATTAGGAAGTGTCCTGGGTTTCAAATTTATCCTTGGACTTTTATAAAAATTATTGGTTCCCTGAGGGACATATTTGTTCTGAAGCAGCCTGTTACTCACATATGGTTTCATTATGCGTTGTCATCAGCTAGAACAGAGGGAAAAGGAATATTTGTTATGGGTTATTTTGCGGCCGATATAGTGTTGATTGGTGATATATGATGAGTTAAAAGGATTTGGAAGAAAGTAGCAGTTGTGGCCTAATAAAATTAGCTACCAAGAATCTGGCTGGAGGTGCTGAGCCAAAAAAAAAAAAAATCTCAGGATAGCAGGTGTCCCAGCCGAGATTCGAAGAGAGAAACTCCCTAATGCGGTATGGCTAAATCAACCAATAAATATTTTTGTTCTTAATTTCAAAGAAGAATTGTTATCAATTTTCAACGTATAAATCTGCTAGTCTCGCTCCCATTCCGGCCCTACTTCTCTTCAAAATATATCCAGAATTTTTATTAGAAAATATGGTCGCCCTGTGCATAGAACATGAAAGAAACTGAAATACGTTACATGAAAATGCAATATTATTACCGTGAGTAGGTCGACAATGAGATAGTTAACACATGCAACTCACGTGTAGAAATGAGAAATGTGTATACAAATTTGGTCGGGAACTGTGAATGTACATGATCATTTCGGAGATATGAGCATAGGTGAGGGCAAAATATTGTGGCATGTAGACTGTTGCTAGGCAACAACCGCGAAATAAGAAACTATATAACAGCTGTTGCTAAGTAATGGCTCCTAGAACAAGCATGTTTCCACGGTAACAATTGCACCGCAATAGAAGAACGGTGTTTTCTGTTCGGTCCTTGCCGAGATGTTATAAGCAGGGCAAAACAGTGGGAAGTCATTCAGTTCGATGGTGAGTTAGTGAGCTAGCTAACCGCTGGGGTTGAGTCATTGTGAACTGCTGCTCTGAGAACCTGGTAGCTTCGAATTTCTTAAAAGTGAGCAATTTGTTGGCTGGCTGTGTGAAAAATAATGGTGGTAGCTGAAAGTAGTTTATTTCGGTTGATATGCTTTTTTATGTAATTCATTGCGTGGCTGTATTGTAACCGGGTTACTCCTTTATTCTTAACAACTGAATAATCGAGTTTTAATAAATAATATTTTTACTTTCAGTAGAGAAAATTTAATGACGCTTGAAATGCTTCTGTCATACTATACTTACTTATGTAGCTGAGCCCTTCTTGAGAAGAAGCCAAATCTGCAGCTACTCAAGAATTTCCCAGCATTTTATGGAACCCAAAGGTTCATTACCGTGTTCACAAGAGCCGTCCACTGGTCCCTATCCTGAGCCAGATCTATCCAATCCATACCATCCCAACCTATCTCTCTAAGATCCATTTTAATACTGTTCACCCACCTACGCCTTGGTCTTCCCAGTGGTCTCTTTCTTTCTGGCTTTCCCACCAATATCCTATATGCATTCCTTTTCTCTCCCATTCGTGCTACATGCCCTGCCCACCTCATCTTCCTTGACTTGATCATTCTAATTATACCTGGAGAAGAGTACAAGTTACGAAGCTCCTCATTATGCAGTTTTCTCCAACCTCCTGTCACTTCATCTCTCTTCGGTCCAAATATTCTCCACAACACCCTGTTCTCAAACACCTTCAGTCTATGTGTCTCTCTTAATGTCAGAGACCAAGTTTCACACCCATACAGAACCAAGCCAAAAATTATAGTTTCGTATATTATAATTTTCATGTTTTTGAACAGCAGACGGGAAGACAAAATGTCCTGGACTGAATGGTAGCAAGCATTACCCGAGTTCAATCTCCTCTTAATTTACTCCTCAATCAGGTTTTGATTTATTATCGTCGTTACCAAATATCTGAACTGTGTCACATTTTCGACACATCTGTTTTCTGTCTTTATGTCATGATTTTGCCCTGCATTTTGGTGACGAGACAGCAACACATAATTAGATTTCTCTGTGTTTACTTCTAGACCAACCTCCTTACTTGCGTCAATTGAGGGTTGTGTTCCTTCTTTATGGTATCTATGTTAATACCCAGTAGATTCACATCATCGGCTTCTGTCATACTACAACTTTACATATTTTAATTGTA